TTACTCCTGCCTTTTTCTTGATCGTTTAAACTGGAGCCATGTCTGCAGTTTTTGTGCCGGGTCTATCGCTGCAGGCAAAAGCCTCCTGCTGCGTTTAAGTTTGGAGTTGGTTTTGAGCACTTGACTGTACTTTTGTTGCTCTAGGTGTTAAAAAGAAATTAGTTGTCTGTTGTGGGGACAGGACTGCTGTATAATTTTCAAAGTACAGATTTATGGTCCATGTCGGAGTTTTCATACCCAAAACACGTATGTATATGTGACAGTGGCACCGCTCCTCATTCTGTTTTGGCTTATAAATCTGAATCGGACAGTTCTATATCTTCATGGACATTTCCTGCCTGCATCAAACTGCAGAGGAACACTAAGGTTCAATGAAGAAAAATACCTCAAAATACCACAACACACGTGTGAGTGTTTTTCTTGCATTCCTCTAAGGCGTGTTTGTGTAACATTACATCAGGCAGCCAATCTATAGCAATATTAGATCTTGATACAAACATGCTGCATGTTTATTGACTCACTGACTGATGAGATTTACTCCTATGCTGTTGAAATTCGTCTATATTCTACAGTATTTCAGCAAATAAGTCAGAATCAAAGTTTGGTGCCCAGTTGAACTTATCCAGAAATAATTTCTCTGCAAGATGATGAGAGAATACGATGAATTTGAGTGGTCTCTTTTGATTTTGCTTTATAGTCATCTCAGGTAACTTTTAACATTATAGTTTGCACTGTGTTGTATTTTTTTACAAGGTTTTATCGTCTCTACTTCCTTGTTATGACAGATCCGGGCCTGGCTGGAGGCAGCAACCTGCTGATAGATGAGGCCCTTTTGTGCTTCCTGAAGAGAAATCATAACCCAGACACCTACAGAGGCCAAGCTAGATGAGTCAGTGAGGAAACATAAATGCGTGTGTGCGTATTCACTGTGTGAGGGTGTGTGTGTCTGTGTGCATGAGCATTTGTGTGGTATTGATTCTTTTTTCATTTTCTTAGTGAAATATATAAAATGAATTTGAAAGGTTCATAGTCTTTGCCTCTCAAGAAACTTTAGTACTTTGTACTTTGTCATCAGTTTTGCAGGGTCGTTGCAGTAGATGTGGTGCCACATGCCAGAGCTGCTTTCGACAAAAGTTACACAAAAGCAACACATGGGAAGAATGAGGGTTGCAGGCAGGTGGAGAAAAGAAGAAGAAAAAAATGCATCCTTGGATTTGGTCTCTGTTCCTCATGTATTCTGCAGGACTTGCATGTTAGAGGTACAGGGTTGCAGCAAGGGGCTCCGGGGTCAAAACAAACAAACGCGCTTGAAGTTTTTCACGCTTTTGCAGAAGATCTTGTTGTCTTTGAAGTTTTCGCTATCGAGTGCAAAGGAGAGAGGGAGAGGCAAACGAGTGTAGAGAGAGTGAGGATAGGGAGAGCAGCGAGGGAAGGAGAGCGAGTTACAGAAGTGTGAAGCCCTTGAGTTGAAACTGTGCCTGGCTGGGCCTACAGAGAGCAGATGACAGTAGCTTTAGTTTCTTTTGCAGAGCTCACAGTGCGTTTGCCTTACATAACCCCTCCCATTGTGCTTTTTCAATTATTTGGGGAGAAATCTTATGTATGCACTTTAAAAGTTAATACTTTCATGTGTTCCGAAGCGAGGGGGCGCGTCGCAGATCACACTTAAAGGAGATGGCTCTGACAAGTTCTCAGAATATCGACGATTATAATTTTCTGTAAGGTATATCAGCTGAGTTTAACAGTGTGCAGCATGGTTTTAAAGGAGAGAGAGAGAGAGAGAGAGAGAGAGAGGGGGGGGCACTGAGAGAGGCGTATAGCGTTGTAAGAGCAGATACAAGCAGTGCAAACTCATTCTTATTTTTTACCCCTTCCCCCAACACAGATTCCCCTTAAGGTGCCCCTTACCCCCCCTTCACCCCCCTTGCCTCTGCTTCTCTGCGAGGTTAAAGCGCACCTTCCCACTAAAGGGCTCTGGGGTCACGCATCTGCATGTGAAATGTGAACCCGCTGACATTCCAGGGCAGCCCTAAGCCGTGCAGTCCTTTTGTTCACCAGGGTACCAGTGTCAGGCCTAACAAGCCTGGCGAAAGTCTCTGAGGGAGGAGAGAGAGAGAGACGAGGGATAGAGAGAGAGAGAGAGGCTGCTGTGTTATTGATGCCCTCCGCAACAATCCATTTTCACAAATGCCAAAGTCAGAAAAAAAAAAAGGAAAGTTATGTTGCCCGAAATGGTGATACAAATTATTTCTTTACTGCACAACCTCCAAATGACATTGTTGCCATGAGCTGGCGGTAACACCGAATGTCATTGCTTTGGGTTTGTTAAAATGGTAATGCACGGAGCGCGTCCATATATTGAATAAGGTCAAGGCAATAAAAAAACAGTCGGTCTCCTTGACAACAATGCAGACGTTTAGCGACTGTGAGAGCAGCGTCGGCACTGGAATTGCTTATATTCACCGTTTAATATTTAACAGAAATATGCGGCTTTTATACGTTTCAACCTTCTGATCTTTGAATCCGCAAAACTAGATTAAACCTGGTATGTTCGACGCCACAGAGAGTTTTCAGGCGGAGGGCAGCGGACATGCAGGCTCTTTTAAATCAGGCAGCACACAGAGGTGCTATGGCAGGGCCGGGGTCCTTTCAGCCTGTGAATTAAGTTCTGAGGCACAAAGGGCAGCTATTCACCAGGCAGTGATGGACTTCACACTAGCCTTTATGTCCTCACTGGCAGGCAGAGAGAGAGGGAGAGGGAGAGAGGGAGGGAAAAAAGTTGGAATAAGTGAAACAGAAAAAAGAGACATTGCCCAGGGAGCAGTGGTATGGACTGACAAATATTTTTAGTAGAAAGTATTCATTAAAATGGCCGCAGGCACTCCTACATGTGTTTCTGTCGTTTCCAGTGGAGTTGAGTGTTTCTAAACTCATTATATTACTGCTTGTAACGGATGATGGACAAAAGCAACATCCAGGATCAAATGACGGCTCTTTATCAGACGAGATGATGCACATCAGGGAGGGAACTTGTTAGACAACAGGTGTCAGTGTGTCACATGGGATATACAGACACATCATAATGACAGCAGAGCACAGATTAAATCTAAGTTTTTATTAGACAAAAAAGAAATATGAATGTATGTCTAGATGAGCACAATATGACCGAAATCCCTCACTCATTCACTCTTTCCCTCTTTCACTACTCTATAGGGAGTTCCATGTAGAGGACTATTAGGGAGCAAAATGAGAAAAACACTACTCAAGTCATTTTCCCTTTCCTGGTAAACACATCATTGTTGTTGCACAGTTGTAATGCTCCATGTCAATGTTGGTCCATTTTATACTGTCATATTTTCCCACGCGAACGCTAGCTCAGATTTCAACTTGCAGGGGCAAAGATCGCTCAGGACAATGAATATCACTTTTATCCTCTTTACTGTGGAAGTTTCTACAGCCTGACGGACGCTGTTACTCTAGAGCAGACAAACTTTTTAAAACCACTCCAGAGCTAAAGAGCGATCGCAACAACAAGGACATGCACGACAAACAGAACTGAAAACTAAATCCTGTGGCTCAGGTAGGAAGGTAACATTTCTCTAACACTGAAACATCAACATACCTAACAAACAGGACAAAATAACACATGGCATATGAACAATATTTGCGCCAATATTAAAATATTTATTTCTTTTATAATTTTGTTTTCACATCAGACAGTTCTCTCTGTCCTCTCATCTGTTTGGTTTTGATTCACTGCAATGCATGATGGTATTTTTAAATCGCTTGGTTTGTGACCATTGGTTGTGCGCTACTTTTCACAATGCATTGTGGGATACAATAAGTTTAGCATATAGGGTATAGAAATTCTTACTCAACATTCGGACAGCACTAAAGAAAGGCAACCTCACTATGTAGTCTGTAGTGAGTGATTTCGGACCAAGCCATAGACCAAAAGCAACATCTTAACACATTTTTGGAAAATCCAAAGTAAATGTAATATTTGTATTTTTAAGTGAGGTTTTTAATGTTTTTTGGGGTTTGAATATATTCACGAGCTTAACCACAACCCTGTTGAATTTCAAAGAGCTATGACGCTCCAGCACCGGTCAGGAGATCAATAAAAGCGTCACATTTTGACAGAAAGAGCGAGCCCACTACGTGCACCTGTTATTCCCATTGTGAACCTGCTTTATTTGAATTCTCTAAAATCAACACCGACTGTACCGAGGGTGCTGTATATGCTCTGAAATGCACCTGCGATGTCGTCGTTATCGTGGTGTGTTAATGAGCCCGAAGGTCCGTGCGTGCTGTCACCAAACCTCTCAGGGGTCGTTCAAGCACATGCACTAAAACACGTATCACCCACCCACACACACACGTGCGCTGCCCTTTTCACCGTATACTTTTACTTACACATTTTAAGTGGGGCCGTACACTCCCATCCCACATTCCTCCCCCTGGGGGAGCCGGGTGCAGTGTGAGTGATTCAGTTAGCGTTACTACATACATTAGAGCTGTCCATCCATCCGGTCTGCTTTTCCAAACACATCCATCCCAGTCCTAGTTAAAACACTGGGGGATCTCCTCCACTCCACCTCCACCACCACCCCTCCCAAAGTCTTTTATGATGTCCATAAAATGGAAGAGTGCAGCTTTACTTGAACTAATAATATCTGAGCTTACAGGGCCGTGATTGATGATCTTTAAAGCCGGCCCGATCGGTCTCATCTTTCTTCAGATTTTTATCACTGACTTGTTTGCAGTCATGTGCAATCACAAGCACCGAGAGAGGTAACAAGTGCTTGATGTATGATGCTTGAGCCACTTTTGTCAGCTACGCATTTCCCTCCTCTCCCTCCACTTTTGTTTTTTTTTCTCTTCCGTTTTCTATTTTAACCCCAGGATTCTATTTGTTGCCTTGCTTAAATTGTCGGTCGGTTGGTTTACTGTGTTCTCTCTCTCCCTCTCTCTGCTTCTTTCTCTCTTTCTTTCTTCAGATGGTGGGAATGTCTTCTCCTGGGGGATGGGGCAAGAGGTGAGCCAAACATTTTTCCACTTTTGGCCCTGCCAGAGAAGCAGAATAAGAACAACACTGGACGTCAGGCTTTTTTTCACATTACACAAACAGTCACACACACAGACACGGCAACTTCTTCCATTTTTTAAACATTTTGAGATCTTTTCCCCTCCAGAGTAGAGATTAAAAGGTTTTGGGGGACTTGTGTCTGAGCCCTCCCCTCAAGCACTTAATATCCTTCATGGTGTGCCAAGAACGCACATCTTTTTAAATTCTATAAATCACCTTTATGGGGTCTGCTGTTTGTCCATTTCAACTCCTCTGCTTCACATGGACAGAGCAGGAAATCCTCTTTGTGGAATCTACTGTAGTTTATGCCCCTTTGAATGTGCATATAGCCACAAGGATGTGTGTGTGTGTGTGTGTGTGTGTGTGTGTGTGTTTGCTGGCCCTGTCCTGTCTTCTCCTCCTCCTCTGTTCGATAAAGAATCCCACCTGTCACTGAGGATTGTTCTGGCCTTTCATTTAAGACGTTCTTTAAAGTGCCGCATCATTACACAGCCCCCAGACAGAGCCCGGAGAGTGTAAAACTTAGGCCCACCTCAATCCCCCTGTTCCTCTCTCTGTCTCTGATTCTTTTTCCTCCCGGCTCTGGTGTTTATCTGGGAGGTCGTTTGAAACCTCGGCCAACATGTGATCACTTTTACAACGTCACGGCGAGGGGGGGGGGGTGAAACAAACACACAGGTGAAGGTTAGCGGAGCGGGGGGGGAGAGCAATGAAAATGGTAGACATCAGCTGTTATGAGCTTTGACGTGGCCTTGGCTTCCACACTGCACTCTTATTGTGCTTCTAGTCTAACTAGACTCATTGGATTTTCATAAGCGTCCTCACGTCTATATAACTCAAAGTTAGTCTCTGCAAGGGCACAGTCAATTTCCTCTCTCCCCTCATCACGTTCTTTCTTTCTCCTCCTTCTCCCATCTCTATCTCCACCCTCATTCCCTCGCTCTTCCCCGTTCCTCTCCACTCCTACCCTTCTTTTTGCATTTTTTTATTACTCTTCCTCCATCTTTCGTGTCTTTCTGCCCTCTCTCTCTCTCGCTCTCTCTCTCCTCTGTCGTGGAGCCGCTCTGATGATTGATTGTTTCTCTGTGCAGTCTGACAGGATGTAGCACACTCTCAGCCCCAGGGGCCCCTCGCAGACTGCACCACCTGATTAAGACTCCCCCTGTAATCAGCCACATAGTGCCACACCGAAACTACTCCCATCAACACGTAAAAAATAAGAAAGGTTCCACCTCCTGAAAGATAACACTGTTTGTCGCTGGAGAAGACATGAGACGAGGGGCCATCTTGAACTTTTTTTTTTTGCTAAGCGGATACCTTCCTCTCTCTAGGGCTTAAAAGCTCTTATGTATCAGTAGCAGTAGAAAAGCAAAAGGTCTTAAACCTAATAAAGTTCTCCGCTGCCTTACTAAGGTAAACCCAGGCAGCTCTAACCCTATTACGGCTGGTAATAGTATTACAGATAGAAATCTCATTGTTTTCCTCCTATTGAGACTAAAAGACGGACGGCCTGTGTTGTATCACATGATTGAGGTGAGAAGGAATTTGAATGATGTCAGAGAGTGCATTCCACAGCCAGAATCAATATGTTAACAGCATATAACAAGGGAAACAAGTAAGTTTTCAAAGCAGGCAGGAGAAGTCAAAGTGCATCAGTGTTGTGGAGAAAGCAATCGCTTTAAATGTGAACAATTCATGTCTAAATATCTACGACTATTACTTCACATTATGGATTATTGAATTAACCAGTACGCCAGTGTAGCTGATGCCATAAACTCAATAAAGACGAATACATCTGCAGTCTAGAGTTGAGTCTGGATTGCTAATGTCAGCTGTGTGATAGCAGGGTCAACCGTCGGCTGAGGTTCTGACAGTGAGTTCAAACTGGCCAGGGACCTAAATTGACATAGCATCCAATTGACTTTAAATACAAGCTCTAAACAGCCTGTGTAATGAGGTGGACAGCAGACGACGTTAGCACAGAGATGAACTACAGATTACAGTACATCTGCATTGGCAATGAATGACCAGGCTCCAAAACAAAATTCCTTCAGAAAACATTCTTTGATTCTCAATGAAACGTTGAGGGCTGAAATAGGAAAAGTGTGAATGCAGAAAATGACGAGAGAAACAATAGGTTACATGGAGCATAACACTTTTTTTTCCAGACTGGTGAAATGTAGTTAAGAAGCATTGTCACCTGGGTAGCAGCAGCTTGTAGCATGTGTTTATACATATACAATATATAGTGTGGCTATTTGGCCTTTCGATTGCAGCCCCGTCTGTAATGTAATGATGCAGGGGACTCATCAGGCATGGTAAATTATAAAGGAGCCGGTCTGATGGTTGTGGAAACCCCGGGCCTGGTTCCAACACAGTTCAGGCCCCATCGAACCCTGGACCTGTTCCAAATTGATGCTAATATGGTCTGGGCTGCAGCAGTGGAGTAAAATGAGCGTTATTGATACCGCTGATCTACAGGTCCTCCTCAGTGTGAAAGAAGAAAACATGAAAAACAAAAGGAAGACAGAAACCTTCCTGTGTTTGTGTATTAGTGTGCGTGCTCTCATGTATGTGTACATGTTGGGAGCATCTTTGCCCGTGGGTGTGTGTGGTGTTTTGCCATGCACACATTTATATCTGTCTGTGTTTTCCCCTTTTCCTTCCTGCTGATGCCATCAGTACACACGTCGTGACTGATGACAGTCGTTGCCACAGTCTGATACTCCGCTGCTTAATGTCCTTTTTGTTTATTAATTAACTGCAGGACATATATGCTGAGAGACACCTATTGATTCCACTGCTGCATTAATTGATTTTGTGCTTCACTAATCATATTGTTGCTGCAAGATCATTACTGGGCCTCTGTGTTGTCTTTTGTGGTGCAGGATTGTTGCTGCTGCACTGTGCTGTTCTTAGTTTTGTGGGTATAGTGTGGAGTGCTGTTGTCATTTTAAATCGATGTTCCTCCATTTTTTATTATGTGATAGTTTTTTGAGGATGAGGGGGTGAAAGAGGGGATGACAAATAAATCCTGACAATCATATCTAAACTCATCCCCAGGTCTTTACTAAAAAATACCAATTCTAATTGTAAACACCAGCCGAATACTTATTAGATTGGGTTCAGAATACTTCTTAGTATTAGTTTAAACGTGTTATTGTTGGGTTTGAAAGTAAATCATGCATGTGCCACTGATGGAAAAAATGATTAACCAAATAACGTAAACAGCTGGAAATAGAAAATAATTCAGAATTAATACAGAATGAGCTGTTACCCCTCATCGTCCTATCTCTCTCTCTGTCTCCATCCTGTTTCCTCCAAATACTGTTTTTATGTGTCAGAGACTTGTTTGTACTTATTAATTCAGAAATACATCTCAGCATGTCCTGCTGAGGTTGAAGCAGGTTTTTAATTTCCGCACTGGCCTACAATTTTCCTCTATCTAATATGCTGCCACTTTTGCAAAATCACAAGTCTGAAACAAAATCTGTGAGCAAACTAGAAATAGAGTGCACACCACTATCAAGGCCCAACAGTCCTCTGAAATCAAGCAAGCCAAACCCAGAGATAGATATCAGTCCTCTGAATATGCCTGATAGTTTTCATCCAGATCCATGCACCCTGGGAAATCAGTGAAAATGCAACACACACACACTACTAGCAATGTTTACTCAAAAACTTTGACCCCTTAAAACAAATCAATATCTGCTTCAACCACTTTCACATGTTACGGCACACGAGTTGAGAGCAGATCTGCTAAAGAGTGACTTTTCCTTTTCAAATGGTTTTGCTTGAAGTTTTCAGAGGTTTGAGGTGAAGAAACTATCCAGTGTTTCGGACTTCTGTCCAGATCTCCTCCAATATTAAACATTATATATATTATATTAAAGTAATACTTCCCCGGCCCTTCCCACAAGTGAAACATAACCTCCCTGTCATTGGTACAAACAGAAATGTCAAGCTTGATTTTAAATTAATTTTCTGTGTTCGGACACACACAAAAAAATGAGCTTTAACTACATTGTAGAAAGTAGGCAACAGAGGCCTGACGGCTAAGAAAAGATGAGAGCGGCCCCTGATATAAAACACGACTATTCTACCACTGGAACAAACAGATTCTAGTGTTTGTGTGTATCTGAGTGCCAGAGGTTCCCCAGTGAGTCTGAACGGGGTTACAGTGTAGCCAAAGCATCTGTCTGCTGCTCACCTCCCAGATCAGCCGGTTCAGCTTGACTGGGCCCAGTTATCTTGGTTTCATACTGACAACTGTCTGGGAAAGGTCTGTCTGGGGTTCAAGTACATTAAAGTCATCCTCTCCCCTCCCACTGAGCCCCAACACAGATGGCTCCAGATGCAGCTGGCACAGCATGGAGCAGCACCTGACAGCGCTCATTCACTCACTCACACTCACACACACACACACACACACACACACACACACACACACACACAAATATACAAGTATAAACACACGCAGACGTGTAAACTCAGGTATGGACACATCTGCTCACTTACTGTACCTAAACACAAGTAAACTTACACTTGCACAGTCTGATGGAAGCGCACACACTCGCACCTATAAAAGCATATACACACAAACACATACACACAAGCACACTCTCTCTCAGCAGGAACATATGCTGCAGCGCGTCTACAAATCCTCACTGTAGCGCACATTCAAATAAGCAATTAAAGACCCAGATTACTGCACGGCACACACACACAGACACACACACACACACACACACACACACACAAACACACAGTTAAAATGTAAACCCACACATATTGTGCTCACTTTCAAACATATGCTAGGGCATGCTGACGTGCACATGAGCACAGTGCAGAAATCCCTTTGTCTCTGCAGGAGCGAGCAGGAAGGAGAGAAGCAGGACAGCTGAGAGAAGTCAAATTGAACACCCTCACCATTTACAACACACAGAGAGAGAGAGAGAGAGAGAGAGAGAGAGATGTAAATTGAGGACAATGCATTCTATTGTACTGCACGAGATGCTGTGGTTATTAAGCCTTTGTGTGTGAATAGAGGTTTTACACAGACACGCTCGCCGATGAGGGATTGCATTGCCAGTCAGTTGCACATGATGGTAAATGAAACATGAAACACACTAGACTTTTTTTGTCTGGTGAAAGAAATATGCAGAGAGCCTTTTCTAACAGTATTTCCTCCTGGGTGACAGCCATTTGAGCCAAGATGAATTGCCAGTTCTCTGTGTCATATTTAACTACACGCAGCAGATATCATAACAGGGCTTTGCAAAGATGCACTTAAATTATGACACTCTTTGACAAATCTAACAACCATGTTTACACTCAGGAACGGCAGGGCAGCGTGAATTAAGATGAGGTGAAAGATAGATCTGAGCAGCTCGCGATATAGAGCCACCACGCTTAACAGGAAGATTCATCTTTCCCCCAAAATTGAAACGCCACTCTGGCATGTGTCTTTATTTAACTCTTCTGTCTACGAGCAATGAAATCATTGGGATTAAACTTTTATTTAATCCTGTGACTGACACTGTATCATTATTTCGCTCGCAGGGACAGCTTGGACTCGGCGAGGACAGGATTCACATCTCTGCTCCTCATCTTCTCAACTATTCTCAGCTCGCTGGAGTCACACAGATACGAGCAGGGGACATCTACAGTGCAGCTGTCACAGGTGAGCCAGACCTGCTCTGGGAGCCCATAGTGAGGTTTCTTCTTTCCCTCAGCCTCCTTTTTTTCTGTCACTGCAGATATCTCTCATTGTGATGTATGTTTTTTCTAAAATCTTTAAAAGTTGTATTCACTCTGCGTAATATACAAAAAAAATACTTAATAAGTTGAAACCTTATTTTCCCAGCAGTATCCCTCACTGTGGCTTTGAGCCATGCTCATTTTTCATCTACATCATTTCATTGAGTTTTAATTAACACAACAAGGATTCAGTGTCCTCAAATGACATCACTCGGAGCACAAATTCAACCTCATTAGCTCTCGATATCTCTTAAACCATCCCAGCTAAATTGTGCAACACTGCAGCCCGATGCGGTGTTATGTATTAGATGGAGAACATAATGAACTGATTTGTTGTTAAACCAGATATCCCCTAAACTACTGCTGTGAAGACATGTCTGTCCCTGTAGCTACTTTGTTATTTATAAGACCGGGAGATAAGGAAACACCTTCTCTTTACATCAGCTTTTCCACTAGCCCAGCTGTCTTTCCGGTAACTCCCAAAAAAAAGTAAAACTCTGATTTCTCTTTTTGTCAACTAACTTTAATAAGAAGGTATTTGCAGATCGGCCCTTTTTTCTTAAACCTTTCTCTGTCTTTTACATTTTTCAGCAATCCGATTCATCGCCCCTCTGCTCCATAGAGAGCAATTGAACTGCCACGAAACTAGTTCTAATACATTTGCACTGTTACAACGTGTCAAGCTACTGCTTCTCCTTCAATTGCTGCTTTTCCTTCTGTCAGACAGATGGAATTAAAGTGGTTACACAACAAATGTAACATCAGCCACTAAAAGAGAGAAAAAAAGCATTGTACTTGTTTCAAGACCGGGGCACATTTACAGCACCCGGCTCTACAGCAATATTCCGTTAAAAGAATTGCCTATTGTTGAAGAGAGACGTCTGCTGGCACTGCGTGCGTAGTTTCGCTCGAAATGCCACTGGTTCATTAAATGAACTGCAGTGAACATATTAAGTTTGGTCCCATTTGAATTCTTGGCGCGGGGAAGACTATTTGGAGAGTGGAGCCCCGCTTGCCTTTGGTACATTATGTCTTTAGGTGATCTATAAAATGTTATTATTTAAAACAAGCTCTTTATGGATTGCTTATGAGGCATGCTTAGCACATGATTGATCTGACCTTTCACAGACGGTCGTTCTTTGGGAAAACATCAGCCTTAACCTTTTTTAGCTGGATTACACTGCCAGCGTCTCTGCACCAGCGCGTGTGTGTGTCTGTATGTATACATTATGTATGTGTGCGTTAGCAGCTTAAGCACAAGTGTGTGTGGGTTAAAACGCCTCGAAACACCCGCCTCACATGCTTTTATAAGGTTTGCTTCTCTGAAATGAAACTAATACATTACTGATTGATTGATCAATCATGTCTGAAAGGGTATCCGCATCTGTGTGCGTGCATGCATGTGTGTGCATGTGTGTGCACGTATGCGCGCGGCAAGGCTATGTACAGCTTGATGCAGGATAGAGATTGATGGAGGCCTGCCGTGAGGAGGATACTCAGTTATCTCCTTGTAATTAAAATCCACCTCATAAAGATTATTGACTCCCCCACCATACAAACCAGCATGCTCCCTTGCTTGGCAGGGTTTGCAAAGCGCTTCTTAAAAAATGAAAAATAGCATATTAAGCAGCACATATTTCCCATTTATGCAGAACATTTAGATGTGGTTAAGTTATCGTAATGTGCAATAAAACCTGGATGTGAAATTTGTAATCCACTTTGGAAAATTGCTTACTATATTGCTTTAACATCCCCTGAAAGAGCTTTTGAGATGTGTGTGCCAGGTTTATTGTATGCCATAATTTAAAAGTCCTCAATGCAGGCAGTAAATATAAATTTATTAGTGGCAGGTTTAAATAGGCAGACTGAGGTAGTATGAGTGAGTGGATGCTTGAGTGTTTGCTCTGTGTGAGTGTGTGTGTGTGTGTGTGTGT